ATATATATATATATATATATATATATATATATGTATGTATGTATGTATATATATGTATGTATGTATATATATATATGTATGTATATGTATATAGATATATATATTTGTGTGTGTGTGTGTGTAGAGAGATTTTTAACAATAATAATCTTAAGGTTGCGTGTGGTTCTGGGTTAAGGGGGTTTACGCAGGTCATTATTGGCTTAACCCATTTAATGATATGGAGTCAAGAAGCGGTAAGTAAAAGTGGTCAAGGACTTCCACCAAACTGGTGGGTTAAGATAGCCCTCTTTCATTTTTCTTTGCTAATTCATTTAACTCACCAAGCTAGGTTAGGAAACAAAATAAGTATTGAGTTGGTTATCCAGGTTAGATTAAATTAACTTTGTTCTTTTAACTTCAAATTAATTATAGCCTAATTGAGGTTTCACTTGATAAAATATGATAAAGACTTGAAATGAATGGTCATTTGCAATGGAAGCTTATAGCCATAGATCTCGTGTTATGTCTCTAGACATCTGAAGAATAAAATTACCTTGCCAGTAGTACTTACCAAAATATGTAACTAGCTCTTTTTTTTTCCCAAAGAATTACTCAATATTAAGAACTGATGGTGCATAGATGCAGCAATTGTTGAAGAATTTATCTCAATCTTGATAACTAATATAGGATTATAGTGGATGTTGCCATGTTTCAATTTATGAAATTTGCAAAATATGCCCAAATTTTGAATGAGAAATACAGTAGAATGGTCCTGCATCAAGTTCTCGATGTAAAACCAAAATACGTATGAATGAATTATTTTTGTATTAAGTATTTTCATGCAATTATCATATTTTAGATCTATGCTTCATCTGCTCATCACTCTTTGTCATGTTGATGATCTAAAAAAAAGTGTAATTATATTGCTTTGAAGCCTGCATAAAAGTTGAATATTATGTTGCAAATGATTATTCTTAGTATCACTGTTTTGGTTATTTTCCCAGTGCTATCATATGTAACTCGTTAAAATTACTGTTATACAAGGTGTCCGTGGTTTACACAATTTTAAGATTGGCACATGCATGTGTTCCTCCTTTGAGGTTTTACTTGAGGTAGCTTTGACTTTTATGAAATATGATCACACACAAGAAGCTGCATTATTGCACGGCTGGCTTCTTATCAACTTGGTTTTCATATTTTTGCCAAGCTTATCATCCTTTGGTCACACAGGCTTTAATTATACTGTGGAAAACAGACTGCAGCTGACATTTTTTTGGATAATACAGATATGATGAACAAACATGTTCCCTGCCAATCCTAATTTCTAACACTACTCTTCCAAAATTTACTAACAAACTCTGACATGCTTGGCTTAACCATTCATTAACAGGGTGAGAATATGACCAGCATAGAACCGAACTCTGGTGCTATCAATGATATATGTGTTTTCAATGAGAGTGGCTTGATGTTACTGGCTTTAGACAGCAGCCAGATACCAGCCTACTTCGTACCTGCACTTGGCCCTGCCCCAAAGTGGTGCTCGTACCTAGAAAACCTGACGGTGTTGTAGCTTTACCTATTGCAGCTTCTTTTCTAAAGTTTCAAATTCTTTTGGCACCTTTATGTGCTGAAGCTCATCGTCATTTCTACTTTCTTATAGGAAGAAATGGAGGAAGAATCACAAATGACCATTTATGATGATTTCAAATTTTTAACTAAAGAAGAGGTTGAACGTCTGAAACTTACTAATTTGATTGGCACCAATCTCTTGAGGGCCTACATGCATGGTTTCTTTATTGATTATCGTCTATATAAGAAGGTAATGATGCTTCTGCGTTTTCTTTTAAAAGAAAAGAATTGAAAAAAATCTGTCAAATTCTTGGACCATTTCTTTGAGAAAAATCTTATAAAATTAGTAGCCACTAATTTCATTCCTGCTGATGCCTTCTTTTCACTGTAATTTTGATCATGCAGGCAAAGGCTTTGGTGGATCCTTTTGCATATAATGAATACAGAGAGAAACAGAAGAAAGAGAAGATGGAGGCTAAGCAAGCCTCACGTATTACGGTACTTTCTCTTCTTTGGTTTGCTTTTCTGCTGTTAAATGTGCACTTAGTGAAAGATTCCTGTTCGGTTTTGCAGATACAGAAAAGGCTGCCTAAAGTAAACAGGCTCCTTGCAGCTCGCTTGCATATTGCAGAAGAAAGTGAAATGGAGAATATGGATGACACAGTTGGAAAAAAGAAATCAAAGAAAAACAGAAGATTAACTAGTGATATCCTTAGAGATACACGTTTTACAGCAATGTTTGAGAATAAGGTATATGCAGAATATGTTATGACAAACACCATAAGCATTTCTTTTCCTAGAAGATCTAGAACACAATTTGCATCTAATACATTCATCTAATAGTGATGGATATTCAAAGATTTATATATATCCTTTTAGCAGAAACATAGTAGTCCATAATGTTTCTTAAGCATCTAAACTAAGAAGTAGTTTAATGAGTGGAACCAAACTGTTAGTCTTCTGACTACCAATTGGCTCACACAATCTGAATATCTTTTCTACCTCATAAATTATTTATTAAGTTCACTGGATTTGCTTCTTAATTGAGTTGAAGTGGTTGTTAATTGTTAGGTTCATGTGTTGATCTTTTTTTCTACCACCTACTAGTATTTTGTCATTGAATCAAATTCTTAGCCTGTTCCACTTATATTCGATCATGGCTTATCATACCTCCTGATTAAGAGTTTGTTCTTGTATGAAATAATAAGAGGATGGCACAGTGACCTGAAAGTTCATATTCAACTTCATTATCTTCCTCTAAAAGAAGAATGAAGTGGCAAAAGTTATGTTTACTACAATGTAACTGATATCCTGAACATGGAAAAGGTTAATTTTAACGTCTCTATAAATAAATGAACTAACATGTATGAATAATGATCTGTTAACTTTTCTACAGAAAGTGTCATTAATATATTTTGCTGTTAGCTTTCTTGGACTTCTTTCCAAGATTCCAAAAGCACTGATTTGTCATAGCAGTATTGAAGTATCTATCAAATGCTTGATGCAACCAAAACATTCAGCTCCTAGGAGACTTTTTATCATTGGTTATGTTTCTGTGCTCATATGGTTTCCAGTTTCCAGTATACTGAATGCGCAAAAAATAAGTTTCTTTAGCTTTCTAAAAATGGTTCTTTTTAGTTTAGCTACCCATTTTTTATGCTTGTTCTTTGCATGTCTTGTAGTAGTGTCTTCTAAATTTTGTATGATTGGGCTGTACTTTCAGGACTTTGAAGTGGATGAACTGTCACAAGAGTTCCTTTCCCTTCATCCCCAATCTTCTAAGAAGCATCCCTCCCTGATCGAGGAACATTTTGAGGCTGTAAAGGAGGATTGGGAAGAGCAGGGGACCAGTGATTCTGATGCTTCAATAGCTTCGCAGGAATCAGAAGATGAGCTTGACACGGATGAGAATACAGTTAAGAAGTCGAAGCGCATGAGGTGAACTCCTGGGATTCTTTGTGATTATAATGTTGTTTTACTTATATTGACATAATGGTATGATGAATTGGGTACTTCAATGTGCACCATTCTTTGACAGTTTTATGGCACAATTGAATATTTAAACCAAGTGGGAACTGTCAGTGTTAGTTTCATCCCTGAAACTATGCCATATGCTTTTCTCACAATTCACAAACAAATCAAGAACATGATTGAACTGCACTTACGTTTCATTAATAAGGAAGATGGGTCAGGTATCATACTTAAGCATTATTAAATTTGTTATTTGGTTTTTTGGCTATTACATCTAGTTAGGTGATCAGCGTTCGAGTCACTGAAACATTTTCTTTTCTTGCAATAATGTTTTCCAAAACCTGCATGGGTGGAGTCTTGTTCACGGAGCTATTCTATGTTTTTATATGAAGTAATCAGGCTGCACATATTGAATTAATGGATAACTTAACTATGTGCTCCTTTTTTTCCTTCTACCCACCTAAGCTATTTCATGCAATTCCTTTTTTCTTTAAACAGAGAGAGAATTCTTACTGTATCCCTGTAGAAAATTTAGTTTCTATTTTTCATGAGGCAGTCACTAAAATTTAACAGGAAATTTTTTTTAAAAGCATCTAAAGTGATCTGTTCTTTCTGATGATAGGGCCATTGTATAGTACTGTTCTCTTTCTGAGGTCAATGTAGGATGGTTCAAATCAGTGATAATTAACATAGTACTGGTTGGACATTATCTGCATATGGATGCTTGCACTTAAGGTGCTCTGTGCTTCCCATGTGCCTTTGCACTCCTAACATTTGTGCTCCCATTAGCCCACTGGTACAGTATGATATGCATGAGTGTTTTAGCATTTTACAGGTGTTTCTAGTTGAGTCAGTTTTTGGCCGGGGCCAGGTTAGAGTCTGATCACTTGCTGGTAGAGATTATAGGGAACCTAAATTGCAATAAGAGAATTTTCTTTTGTATTGTCTATGAAACTACATTAAGTTATAGTTTTAAATGTCTAACCTTGTGAAAAGATTTTTGACATTTTATCTACATAAAATTCCAACACTATTTCCTGCTGAGATGGCACTTTAGAGGTCCACAGAGACAATATTTTGCACAAAATACGGAAGATACCAAAGATGTTTTATTTATATCCTAACGCAATGATTTCTTTTAGGTTATATGAGGTGAAGGACGAACGCCATGCCGAAGCATTTTTAAGGAGTGTCTCTCTGGCCAAGGAGGATGCCCTTCCTCTTGGAGAGAGGGTTGCTGCTCTTGAGAAACAACAATCAGTTGGTACTCTGAATGATGTGAAATTTGGACCTGGTGGCTCACGGCAAATCTCTTTTACCTCCAAAAGCTCAAAGAGACAGAAAGTCGAGCAGCCTGAAGAGGGAAAAAGAAGGGGAATCCAGTCCCTAGGATTAAAGCGAAGTAAATCAGAATTTTATGCTATGGGAAAGCAAGGTGGTAGAGGGCAACGTGGTCACGGCAGGGGCCGTGGAAGGGGGAGGAGATAAAGTTGGTCAATTCAACTGCCATCCGACTAGCTGGACGGTTGAGGCATCCGGGTGGCTTTCCACAGGTTACTGATGCCCTCCTCACCAGCAATATGCACATGATTTACTGCTTGAAACAGGTGGTACTATATATACATATATGGAGAAAGAAATTGGTCAAATACGTAGAGCACCTTTTGATCTGCTCTGGCATACATGAATTGTGAAATGCAGAAGAATTGGCATACGATGTTCAGAGTAGACTGTTGTTCTTGGTGTTTCTCTTGACTGAAGGGTTCAAAGACTGGGATCAATTTTGTAGATCAAGCGAGTCTTTATTGATCAGTAGTATTTCTGCTTGTCAGCTATGGACCAGAGCGTCCACAAGGCTTTTTTGTTTAATAGTTTATCAAATTAAATTGGTTTCATGGCTCATCTCGGTAATCTTTTTAAGATAGCATCTTGGTTGAACTATTAGAAAATATGTGAATGAGTACGATATGTTAAAAATCAGTAACATTTCACTGATGCCAAAAGTAAGCATCGGGGTTTGGTTAAACTCTTTGTTAATGTTTTGCTGAGCAGGATTCTTCTGTTGTCTCATTTCTTGCCAAAACCTATGTTTTTCTAAGGCGCAGACCAAATACTTATTTTGATGAGAGGATGGTTGATGCTTGTTTTTGTCGATCTGGCATGGCAGCCGAATGATGGCTCCAACATATTTTACTCAACCATCTGTTGATTTCTTTTTATTTTTGGCTGCTGTTGTTTGTGGTCTGTACTTTGGATGAAAAAGAAAAATGAAGCAAGATTACTTTGCAAATGGTTTTGCTGGGTTTAAAGACTGAAGCTAGAAAATTTTACAAGCTCTGATATATTATGGAATATAGTTGCAGGATGGTCATGTAAGGAAAAAGCAGGTGAATGGTATGTGTTCTATAGTTTGTCTGCATTAGTTGTGATTAGTGTTGGATTTTATCATTGAATCTTGATGTGTAACAGTTGCTTGGGCAAGTAAAGAATGGAATCTTCACCTTTCTAAATCAGTAGAAAAGCTTATTTTTTGGAATTTTTTCTGGAACTACTACTTTTCATATTTCCCAAGAGACACCCTTATCTTTTCATAATTTTTGAAATATCCCTAATATGACACAACTACAAAATTAATGGCTCAATTATTCAACTATAATATTTTTAAAATATTATAAGTTTATTAAAAAAATACAATAATTGACATAGGAGTCATTTTATTTGGTAGTTTGTGTTGCTAAACCAATGTGGATAATGTCTTGTTTTCCTATATATGTTGGTTATTAGGTTTTGAATCAATTTGACTCATTTATCATGTTTTTAAATAGATTCATAATATCTTAATGATAGTATCAAAAATAATATAAGACTATTTAAAAATACTATTCAAAAATAATATTCATGAAATATTTATTTGTTGTTTTATTTTGCAGAGTACAACAAGCTTCAATTGTGGTCTGCGTGCCTCTAAATGACATGCATGTTAATAAAGTAGATAGGTATCTCGTTTCAATGAAGAAACCAAGTGGAGGAGTTAGGTATCCTGTTTTAATTCTTTTCATCGAACATTCCACCTGATTCAGATTTCGTGACACATGCCATTTGGAATTCGGAATGGCGTGGAAATGGTGAAGACTATGCAGGTGTGAACGTTGACCACCGGCACTTTTCTTTTTATTTATAGCGGGTCGCGGAGGTTTTCGGATCTTCCCATTTGTTGACGTGGCGAGGATTTCGAAGTCCGGATTCAAAGTCTACTAGATTACCGGCCAACTCAACTGTTGACTTCATTGGTAGTCGGTCGTCACGGTGACTTTGGTGAAGAAGTTGACTTACAAATCACAATTAAATTATGGTTTTTTTTCTCTTCTTTTTGACGAACCTAATTCGTTTTGAATTTTATGGTTAATTTTGCTCGAAATAAGCTCTGATATAATCAATCGATAGAGAAATAAAATAAATAAATATATAACCCTTTTTAATTGACGATTCATTTCTTTTTGATCTCACGGATTTCGCCTCCCAGTTTCTCGTCCCAAGTCAAAGCTTCGTAGTCGCGTTAAGACGTGTCCGACACGCTTTTTGAAGCGTACGCCTCAAGTAGCCGATAGAGCAGATGGTATTGAAAGACTCCGATGATCCGGTCTCACACTTCTTCTGCTTCCCTTTTCCGAGCGTGGAAAACTTCTCGACGCATACCATTTCAACGCATGACGTGCTCGTCGACCTCCACGCCATTATAAACTCCTCTGTCTTTGCTTCTGTTCCCATAACTAAATCTTGGCACGCGTCGTTCCCCTTTTCTCCTCCTCTCCCGCCTCGGAATCCTCAAGCAAATAACTCATCTCATCAATGGCGGCCTCATTCCAAATCCGCTCGCACTTCCTTCTTCTCCTCCTCGTCCTCTTCGTCTTCATCGTCACGCCACAGCTGTCCTCTTGCAGGCCCATAAAAGCCGTGGATCCAAGTAACGACGGTCGAGTACTCGTTCCGTCGCCGGAGTCTCACCCCGGCCGTGCTCCTTGCTCCAACTCGAGAAAGGAGCAGCTCGCGGAGAAGTACAAGCCGCTTCTGCTCAACCTCCTCCCCAGGGGGCCTTCGCCGCCCTCGGGACCGAGCCCAGGAATCAACAGCAACAACAAGAACTAGCGGGTGATAGAGTTGATGGAGGATAATTATTTTCTCCTTTTCAGGAAATTTTGAAGCTATATACATATATATATAATTAGATTAGCATCATACTATACTTTTTTTCATTTGATTTGTTGTTGTAGCAGATTGATACTATTCGATCAATATGTAAACTTTTCGTAGGATAATATCAAATGCTTTCTTTCTTTTTCTTCTATGTTAATTCAGCTGTGGTTTTTTTCTTTGGCACAATCAGAGACGACACTGTGCACGCCTTCACGGGAAAGGCGATCGATTTGGTCAAACTTTGACTCTTTGACTTCTCCAAGCGCCGGCTTTTCCGAACACGCTCGTGAACCATCCGTCCCTCTTTTCTTATTGATCTCAACCGTCCGTCTATTAAATATCGAGAGATAGATTTGACCTAGTCAGATGGGCGATTGTGATTGGATGAGAAAGCGAAAGACTTCAACCATTATATGCCACGTTGGGTCACTTATTTGGTGAACAAAGGCGAGCTTCTCATGTCGGGACTTGGCGGTGTGTGTGTGTGTGTGTGTGTGTGCGCACACATGAATTGCATGGAGTGATATGATTAGATCAGGATTTGCGTGGACTGAGACTTACACGTGAAGTATACATACAATGGATGGATGGCGGAAGGTGTGAAGGACATTTAGGTTCTTTGCATGTGATTCTAATGCTATATTTATTTGAAATTGTTTTTAATAATATAATTATTGCCTAATCTCTAACACATCCCAACAGAACTCTTCCTCTATTTTAATTAAAAAAAAGAATGTATGAGTTTCTAGAGTGAAGTTTTATTAATAATAAATATATCAAATGAAGTTTCGAATCATTGATTTTTTTTATTTTGAAACTATAAATCAATTTAATTCTATCTCCATTTTTCATAAAACAACAAATGAACAGTTTCGAGTGATGAGGCTATCGTATACACTTGCATAAAGAAATCGTTCGGTCATTCGTAAATGAGTATAATTCGACGCTATATTGCATATTATAAGGAATTGTGTCAGAGTAACACAGCAAACCAGAGAGATTGAGAACTTGGTAAATCTTTACTAACCTTGGAGAACTTTATTCTTAGATTTTGGGATACAAACACTCGAATAAACTCAAAACGCAGATGACGACGAGGTGAAGAATTCACAGCGGCAGATCGATGACCTCTTCGCATCGAACACCAGTCTCGAAGCTACCCGTTACATGAATACACGAAAATTCGATGAGAATGTTCTTTCTGAAGCCTGTTTTATCTTCTTCCCCTCGCATGACCTTGCTGTTGATGCTTCCTACCATCACATCGAGACGAGGACGACGACGGAGGCCGACGAGAGCCATCAGACGGCATCTGGAAGCCGATATCCTCGATGGCGCCCACCGTCTTGAACAAGCGCTTCTTGAGCTGGTCGACCAGATTCCGATGAAGCAGCTGACTCCGCATATCCACCATCGAGAGGTTCCTACTCAACCGGCGGTTCTCTGACGGCCTCTCGACCCCTTTAGTTCTACTTCTAGATTTCCTTGAGGGCTCCGGTGACGATACGTTGCACTTCTTCTCCATCTGGTTAGCTAAGGAGGTGTCTTCTCTGTGTCTTTCATCCGCGCAGAACTTGGTGGCGTTGTGGCTGCTTTCGCTATGGTGGGAGCTCATCTCGCTTTCTTGCTCGTTACCTGAGGTGTAATTCAGGGCAGAATACTTGCCTGAGTGAGTGGAGCTCATGTCATCGTCATCAGAAAACAGGCCACCTGCATCAATGATGATTCAACACAGGAATGACCACAAAACACCTCATCCATTTTGCAAGTGATAGCATCGAATATGTGCTGGCTGTGTTGCAGGATGCGCACCTCGAAGCCATCCTTCCTGATGAGGATGCTGCTGCAGACCCAACACACCCATATACTGCCCTGCTCCGAAGGCAGAGCCCGGGGAGGAAGCAGGGGAGGAAAGATTGTAGAATGGGTGATTGCACCCGTCTTCGGCATCATCCGCGTAGTTGTAGACATGATGGAGATCACTGTGTCCACCTCTTGCCTTCCAATCCGGCACCAAAACTGCGATCTCCTGAGCTATCATCCCTGCAATCTCCGACGGCTCTCGATCCGTTATCTCAAGCTCCTTCACCATCTCATTTGCCACGTCCATGGGAGTGTCACTCACCACGTCGAACGGGAAGTATATGTTCCTCACTTGTCCTAGCCAGAATGATCACAGACATATCAAGTTAATTTAGTGTTCTGCTCCTGATATGATTTCTATCACAGCTGAGCTCTGTACCTTCTCTGTCAGCAATCTGAACTTTAAGGAAGATGGTGTCGCCCTCCGGATTCATCTTCCCCGTGATAGTCATGTCAGTTCTCCTCGCGGTGCAGGTAACGTCGCCGGCCTCGAGCAAGTGCAGGTGGTCATGGCCTCGTGATCTCATGTCCTTAACTACATGGACAGGAATGTTCTTCAAGGGCAACATTGGGACATGATGATCATCTAACGCGAGAAAGGGATCGAGAAGGAGCTCCTTGGCCGATGATCTCTTCGCGACGTTTTCGAGGCATCTTCCGATGAATCGCTTGGCCTCGGGATCTTTGATGCGGTGGAATGCGTCCGGCAGCTTTCCCTGGACGAACAAGCATTCCCGCAGCTCAAGGTTTCAGTGCCGGAATTGAATGGAGAAATCGAAGGTCATGAGATTAGACACCCTGCAGTTTCTTACCGAAGTGACTTTCTTGTAGATTTGAGCTGGATTGAAGCATTCGCTGTAGGGGTACTCAGAAGTGAGCATCTCGAGCACACACATGCCGAACGAGTATATATCCACCAGCTCGTTGTACTCCTCTTCGTAAAGTTCCGGTGCCATGAACTCCGGCGTGCCTACAGCAAAACAATGACAGTGTCGAGTGTTAGGAAGCACACTGCCTCCTAGAAGCAACCATTAAGAGGCTGCTTACCATCATCTTTCTGCACACATTACAGCTGAGAGGAAGGATCAAGACTTACCAATGACACTGTGTGCAGACTGTGAACCCTTGAGAACAGCTGCCAGGCCGAGGTCGCCGATCTTGACCTCCCCAAGATGGCCGTTGACAAAGATGTTGTCGCACTTGATGTCCCTGTGTATCACCGGAGGGTCGTGGCCGTGCAAGTAGACGAGGCCTTTCAGGATCTGTCGAGCCCAGCTTTTGATGGCTCTGATATCAACTCGTGGATATTTCTTCCGGTACCTGAATTCCATCTCCATGGATCAGTAGCAGAACAACTAGTCGCTTGTATTAAGCTTTCAGAGAACAAACTTGTACGGTGTGTGGCATCAAGATTGGGTAATCGAACATACTCTCGGAGGGTACCAGAGCTGAACATCTCGGTGATGAAGTTGAATGTCCTGTTCTCGACGTCGATCCATGAGGTATGGAATCGGATAAGGGATTCATGGTGGAGGGAGCTGAGGAGGTGCACCTCTGAGTACATCCGCTGCAGCACATCGGGCGATTGCAGCACGTTGCAGATCTTAGCCTGGTTCCATGCAACCTCGGTGCCATTTAGCTCATCAAACGCCTTGTATCTGAAGAATCCCTTTGTTAAGGAACTCATGTCACAAAATCTGAGACATACACTTTCAAATCCATGTTCGATGACATTTTCAATTGTTTTAAATCAAGAATAGTTATTAAATAGCATGATCGATGACAACTTCTTTGTGGAGGATACACTGTTTTGGTGGCTCCTTTGCCAAGCACTTCATCAAACTGTCATTGCATGTGAAAGAGAAAGAGTGAGAATTCTGCATTATTAACAGCATATACTGGAACAGAATAATGCTCTGCAGCAAGTGAGCTTTTCATTCACTACACAGAGAGACAGAGAGAGAGAGAGAGAGAGATGTGCATAACAATCAATATGTGAAACATGTGTTGATGAAGATGGAGAAATATGATCTATGCTTGTCATTTTTAGTTCATTGACTAAATTGTCTTCACCTGTGAATGCTAGAACTCATCTGAAACCACTCAACTTTTTCTTCTTAGAAGCTAAAAAGTCAAAAAAACATTCATACTTTAAGAATATCATATACCATATCTGACTTCCTCCAAACATGAGGTCAAGAAATAGCGGGCTATGTTTGGAGGAAGCCATTAATATCTATGAAGCAATTGATTTAGACCACAAGTAAAGAAAAAGTATGACCGATAACCTACCCAATCCAATCCCATAAATTATGTTAGATACACACAATTTCTCACTGACAGGACACATCACATCCATATCATTCACCTCATCATCACAGGATGGGTGACAAACAATGGTGGTGGGTCTTATACAAAGGGCCGAGATCATGGTCACCGATTCAAAGTGCTCATCAACACCACAAGGGTGCAGGTCACTCTCCACATAGCAACATGGGGCAGGCTTCTATTGCCAAAAATATTCCTTCTTTTTGGTAAAGGCATCTCTGTAGTCTTTCAATGTGTTCTTATCCTCATGAGGAATCTCCATTGCAGACAACAGAAACAAAGAATTTTAGCTGCAATTATTGACAGTCAGAATCCATCCCTCTATTATTGAAGCAGACCAAATCTAAATATTTCTGAATTGTATAGCATATATTTAATCTCCACCTGTTATGACACTGCTGATCTTTTACCCTTAGATCTTAGTTCATGCAGTTGGTATGGAAATATCAAGATGCATCAGTTCCATTAATAAGTTATAGCATGGCTTAGTGCCACAGATGAGATCACATATGAATCGTATAGTATTGGGATCAGAGACCGTGAATGATTAAACTAGAGAGGCGATCGTGAGGGTTGGTGTGATCTAATTGTTATTTCTTATCTTTACCAGGAGCTTGCCATGGATCTTCAAATAGATTTGTGCATCAACTTGATCAGATGGAGGAGAAACATCAAGAGATGATCCTTCCAAAGACCACACAAGGCAAACAAGCGGTATTCTTGCCATCAAAGAATCGCTAAGCTACTCACAGAAAGAGAGCCTAAACCAGTCAAGAAGCATGCAGAGAACCCAGTTAGTAAGCATGATGGCACACAGTTGTTGCAGCAGCCGTATCAGAACAGGAGGAAAGAAGTAGAGATCAATTAATTTTCTTGTTTGAAAGCATAAACAAAGGATGGATGGATTGATGGGTGATCGGCAGAGAGCTTACACGTCCATACCGACAGGTGGGATCGATCTCCACGTAACCATTGCCCACGGTGAGAGCCCTCTCGGCGCTGCGCTCCCGGTGGCGTGTCTCATACATGCCGACGCCGGCCCTGCAGAAACCGATCGCCTCGCACCTCATACACCAGGAGAAGAGGGGAAACAGAGCTCCCCGGAGGGGCGGCGTCGAAAGGAGCTCCCGTTACACCCGTGGCCTCCCTCGGTGGTTGTCATAGGAGAAAACGCGGAATAGGAGCCACGGGAGACCATGGTAGTCCACCCGGAGCATAATATTGCAGGCCGTGTCGACGACTGCGACACGCAAGGGGCGGAAGCAACTCACAATCATTGACGTTAACCCCTCGCGAGGAGAACAAGGTCGAGTAGGAGACTCGGACGGAGGGATGGATGAGTCGTGGAGAATTTTCCAGCGGGGTGTTGTGCTTGTGGTGGCTGCATGTGGTTGTGTTGGTGGCGACACTTTCTGCCCCGTCACGTATCCGCAGCACCAAATACTCTCGCGGTTTGACAACCATGAGAGAGAGACTCGGCGCGAAGGAGGAGGCAGGAACAGAGGGCACGATGAGTATAAGCGTGTGGAAATAGAACGGGAGAGGAGAGGTTGCTGTGGGCAAGCATCGAGTAGGAGGAGGAGGGAGGCGTAGCGCAGCAACGTGGCGTCGGGGGCAGGAGGGAGGAAGACGGCATTTACGGCTGGGGCCCACGACCTTGTTTGTCGCCGCTGTCGGGTGGTGAACGAATGGGTCAAAATCGACACGTATATGACGGCGTCGGAAGGACAAGTGTTACGTTCGTGGCTCTTCTTTCTTTTGGTCCAATTAATGGGTTTTATTCCCCCTACAGACTACCCGTTCTCATACCTGCTTTCGATTGAAGAGGATGACGAACCCATGTGGCGTCCACCAATCCAACGGCGAGTACGAATGAATGCTGGCGAAATTTGAATGGGTTGCCACCAAGAAAGACGAGTGTTAAGGATACATTAATGTGGAAAAGGATAATTTATATGTTCCTCATAGCCACATTAAACTTAAAACTTAATGACTGTTGGATAACAACAATGCTTTGCAAAGTTAGTTTAATCCACGTAGAAAAACTGTGCTCTTAATTCCTCGAGTTTAAAGGTTGTCGTGGAAGCAACAAAAGCCATGTATGGCTATCGCAGTCAAAAGCGTATCTTAGCTTTTGCCGATTTGGTGCAACGTCAAATTGGCTCGTGGCGAGCTTAGAAGTGGATCCCACACGCAGAGTTGGTGGGTACAAGAGTTTGGGATCAGTATGACTGCAGGCTCTCACGGCCACTGTAGGGGGATAGTGATGGGACGAACTCCGCCCGGTGGGGAATACATTTGGCCCGCCGTCCTTGCACGGTGTGGTGGTGCTTAAGCTGTCACGCTCCATGTACATCGGTCGGCAGCGGCCGCGGGGTACGGGGTCGCTCGCTGCCCTTCGGCTTCGCCATGGGCCATCGATAGGTTTAGTCTCGTGAATTATCTACATTAGGATACAGTTAATAATGAATGATATGGGAAAGTAAACAAGGATCGAGTCAGGATGCCTCCCGGTCAACGAGGATGCACAGTCATCACACAACGTCGTCGTTCATGCGTGACGATTTGAATGACTCATCAAAAAACTTGACTATTCATTCACTAGTTTGGTCCAAATCAGAACTGAATTAGAATCTGATTTCAATGATTAATCTGCCCTTTTGAACCAATTAAAAATTAAAAAAAAAATCTAAATTTTAAAAAATTTAAATTTAAAAAATCTAAATTTTAAAAAAATTTCAATGATTTATGCTAAACACTTTTTTTTTACTCAAATCACTCCCAAATTCAATTAAAGATTCTTAGGTATCAAATGAGGAAAAAAAAGATTTGCTATACATAAAAATGGTAACAAATTGGGTATTAATCATATTCATCATAGTCAAACTTTAAATTATAATTGAAGACTTTAATATTAATAGTCAAAATTTTTACCAGATAAGTCAACTAATATTTTCATTTAATTCAATATCATTCTGATGACCTTTCAATCCTCCAAATTCTACATATAGACCCAAAAAAAAAAATTCTTCTAGTATCCTCATGAGATTTTTTTTCTTAATATCTTCTACAACAGTTGAGTTGATGTCAACTTACTCAGGATATCATATTTCAACCAATCATTAGATAAGATTTGACTATGAGCTCTCTTTTTCTTTAAGACTTGTTTGTATTGTCTGAAATGTGATCAAATATATTAGAATACTCATTCTTTTCAAGACTTTTACAAATAGTTTAAGAGTGTTATTAGAATGTCTGCATTCACAAGTCTCCATAAGCATGCTATAAATGCCTTCATGTCAACCCTCCTGATATTATAATGTCAACTATTGTTCTTCTGTACCTTAGAATGAGGTAGGATAGTGTTTAAAGAATCAAACTTGTATTAAAATGTAATACAATAACATATATGCTAGTTTGATATCACTTGTGGGTTAGGCTTTATGAGCCTCCACTAAAGTACTCATAGTGATGATGATGATATAGATGTTAGTGGGATGAAGGCTTAAGTAAAGTCAAATAAAAGAGAGAATATTCATGTTTCTAAGACCGTTTTAATGAAAAGCCAACATACCTTTTGATCATCATAGAACTGTTATCTAACATATTAAATATATAGTTTTAGTTGACTTATCGGATTGGTTAATACATTAGCATATAAATGATACATATGAACATCATGTATGTCATTTAATATATATATATATATATATATATATATATATATATATATATATATATATATATATATTTTTAAATGAAAAATATATTAAACATAGGAAGATATGACTTTAGTACTAAACTATTTGTTATAGTGGGTTAATAGAGATGTTCCATTAATAAGCAATTAGCTCAGTAAAAGATCAATTAGTAGATATAAAGTGGAAGAAACACATGGCATAAAGTCAACACAAAAACTAGGGTGTAATATTGTAATTATTTGAGAGACTATTTATAATTATAAAAAGAGGATATTTCCAATACAATCTCATTTATTAAATAATTAATATGGAATATTATAAGGAATATACTGATTTGGCTAACAAATATTAATCACTGAATGTGAATGGTAATTATGTTTGAAAATTAGGGTTGCAATGTAAACCATCATATTCCAAGAACATAAAATACTCATGAATGAACCAAATGGAAAGGCAAAAAAGAAAAAAGAAAAAAAAAAAAAAAAAAAGCTCAAAGAGATACAATGATAGAGTGCAAAGAGGAGAAAAAGAATTGGAGATAGGAAGCAGTCTATGAGTTGAAATGGCTGTCCAAGAGGAGAAGAAGAAGAATTGAGAGATGCATTTGTCATTTTCAACCCTTTAATAAATGACTAATTGGAAGAGTAATTTAAAAAAATAAAAAAAAATAAAAAATAACATTAAAATTAAAATTAATCATTTTGATTTAAATTCAGAACTAATGATTCTTGAATCGAAAAAAAAAACTTTCGATTCCTAAACTAATTTAAATATTGAACAAATCTTATTATTATTTAAGTATCATTCGTCTAAATCTCCTTATCCTAATACTAATTGTATAGACAATCAAAACTAATGTTAATAAATAATAATTTATATTTCTTGTGTAGATTAATATGGGATTATTATTAACCCGAATCGAGAATAAAACAGAGATTTTAGGTAGATTCGGATACTATCTATCCCGGACCATGACATAAGTATAATATTTACTTATTATAAATTCTTGTGATAACTAACTATTCAACAACATTAGAATATTGACATTACCATATTATACATTTAGCGTATTACATTATTTATGAGCTACTTTTATTAATTAGTGATATCGAAGTACAACACTTGATGTCGTAGCAAGAGAGCCACTCCTTTCATTAATTTTATTCACTCACAAATCTTGTTCTATCTCACTCAATTTTAAAAAATATATATTAAAAGATTAACCATGTATTCGAATTGATATTAGAAACTGATTTAAATTGCACATCTTTTTACTCAAATCACTCCCGAATATGATTAAAGAGTCTCTAAAAATTGATCATTTGTCATCCATAAAAATGGTAACAAATAGGGTATTAATCGAATTCATCATTCCCAAACTTTAAATTATAATTTAAGACCTTAATATTAATCGTAAAAACTTTTATCAGATAAGCCAACTAATCTGATACCATTCCTAGACTGATTAGAGTTGTTAAGCATGGAGTAGATTTCCTATAATCTTGCAGATAAGAGAGACATCCTGCATGACCTTTCAATCTTCCAAATTCTATAGATAGACCCAATAAAATTTTTCATCTCTTATCCTCATGAGATTTTTTTAAATAACTTTTACAACAGTTAGATGTCGACTTACTAAGCATATCATATTTCAACCAATCATTTGATAATATTTGACTATGAACTCCCTTTTTCTATGATTTGCTCGACAGAAATAAGTTCAATTATATTAGAATACTCCAAAACATTCTTTTCGAGGCTTTACTAATAGTTTAGTATTATTAGAATCAAGGTATGTAATATCGTATCATATCGGTGTTTCGAGGTTGGCTCGATATGGTATGATACTGTGTATCGAGTGGTACGTTAGGGTATACCGAACGATATACCTAATTTAGGTATAAAACCCTCCGAAAATACCTAAAAAAAAAAGAAGTTAGGATAGAGTTTTTAAGTTAGAAATAAATATAGTAATAGCATAAGTTTAGCAAAATTAATGTAAATTAGGTAAGAATAGTATCATATATCTTTGGGCTTTGAAAAATATCTTGTGTAAGGTTCGTATTTCAGTCAATTACAAATTGTTCTTACGTAAATATACCTCTTGATTAGAAAGTGTTTTCTCTTAATCTCCTCAAATTAGCCTTGATTAAATTTACAAATCGTTGTTTTGTAAAGTTTAGGAGAGCATAAATATGAAAAAAAAAAGAAAAGAGTTTGAGATAGCTTAAGATAGTATCAAAATGTAATGGAGTGTAATAGGGGAGAAGAATGGGTTTAAATACCATGAGAAAGGACTCTAACGATCAATTATTGTAATACTATAGCACGTTCCGTATGGTTCATACCGATATATCATCGAACCGGTATATACCACATATATCTGACGGCACCATTCCAAATTACAAACCACGGTTAGAACTTGCATTCACAAGTCCCCATATGCATGTTATAAAATGCTACTTCATGTCAACCATCCTGATATTATATTGTCCATATGCATACATGCATTTCAAGAGGAATATTCCTTATCTTAGAATCTAGCTATTGTTCTTCTGTATCTTAGAAATGGGGTAGGATAGTGTTTAAAGAATCAAATTTGTATTGAAATGCAATACAATAACATATATGCTAGTCTGAAATCACTTGTGGGTTAGGCTTTATGACCTTCCATAAAAGTGCTCATTGTGATGATAGAGATGTTAGTGGGATGAAGGCTTTAGTAACGTCAAATAAAAGAGAGAATATTCATGTTGCTAAGACCTTTCTAATGAAAAGCCAACATACTTTTTGATCATCATAGGCCTGTTATCTAACATATTAAACATAACATTGTAGTTGAGATATCGGATTGGTTAATACATTAGCACT